GGTTAGGACAGCAGTTTTCAACATTTTTTCATTTGTGGACTCCTAAAAAATTTTGAACGGAGGTGCAGACCCCTTTGGAAATTCTGAATGTTGATGCAGACCTCTTTGAGTTGTAAGTTTGCATATTCTTATATTTTTGATTGATCAAAGTCCTTTCATGGATACCCTTAGGCATAGTCTACTGATGCCCAGGGGTCTGACGACCACAGGTTGAAAATCATTGGGTTAGGGACTATTTAGAAAAGCTGGATGTGTACAAGTCCATGGGACCAGACACAATGCACTTGAGGGTGCTGAGGAGTTGGCCATGTTTCATAGTTTCATAGTTTCTAGGGTCGGAAGGGACCTGAGCAGATCATCTAGTCCGACCCCCTGCCATGGCAGGAAGAGCACTGGGGTCAAATGACCCCAGTAAGGTGGTCATCCAACCTCCTCTTAAAAACCCCCAGGGTGGGAGCCTGCACCACCTCACTTGGAAGCTGGTTCCAGACCCTAGCCGCCCTGACCGTGAAGTAGCGCCTCCTGATGTCCAACTTAAACCTTCCCTCCGCCAGCTTGTGACCATTGTTCCTGGTCACTCCTTGCGGCGCTCGGGGGAACAGGGACTCCCCCAGCGCCTGCTGATCCCCCCTAACCAGTTTATAACAGGCCACAAGATCCCCCCTCAGCCTTCTCTTTTGAAGGCTGAACAGGTTCAGGTCCCGCAACCTTTCCTCATAGGACCTACCCTGCTGTCCCTTGATCATATGAGTGGCCCTCCTCTGGACCCTCTCGATGCTGTCCACATCCCTCTTAAAGTGCGGCGCCCAGAACTGGACGCAGTACTCCAGCTGCGGCCTGACCAGTGCCGCATAGAGGGGGAGGATCACCTCCTTGGACCTGCTCGAGATGCATCTGTGGATGCACGACAAGGTGCAGTTGGCCTTCCTAGCTGCCTCCCCACATTGCCGACTCATGTTCATCTTGGAGTCAATAATGACTCCCAGATCCTTTTCCACCTCCGTGCTGACAAGAGGGGAGTTCCCCAGCCTGTATGTATGGTGCCGATTGTTCCTCCCCAGGTGCATCACCTTACACTTGTCCGTGTTAAACCCCATCCTGTTCTCCTCCGCCCATGTGACTGCAGAGCCACTGGCCATTATCTTTGAAAACTTTGTGGCAACTGGGAGAGGCCCTGTATGATTTTATAAGCACTTGTTGATTAGAAACAGTCAGCATGGATTCACAAAAGGTAATGCCTGACCAACCTGATTGCCTTCTGTGATGAGATAACTGGCTGTGTGGATGCGGGGAAAGCAGTGGACATGTTATACTTTGATTTTAGCAAGGCTTTTGATACCATCTCCCACAGCATTCTTGCAAGTAAGATGAGGAAGTATGGGTTGGTTGGATGAATGGACTGTAAGATGGACAGAAAACTGGCTGGAGTGTCAGGCTCAACAGGTAGTAACCAATGGCTCAATGTCTAGCTGGCAGTCAGCATCAAATGGAGTACCCCAAGAGCTGTTTTTTTTTTCAATATCTTCATTAATGATCTGGACGACAGGATGAACTGCATCCTCAGGAAGTTTGTGGATGACACCAAACTGGAGAGTATAGTAGATACACTGCGGGGTAGGGCTAGGATTCAGAGTGACCTTGACAAATTGGAGGACTGGACCAAAAGAAATCTCATGAGGTTCAATAAGGACAAATGCAAAGTCCTAAACTTTGGATGGAAGAATCCCATGGAATTCGGCCGGGGGGGGGGGAAGTGGCGTGGTAGGACCTCTGCAGAAAAGGACCTGGGGGTTACAGTGGACAATAAGCTGAATGTGTGGCAGCAGTGTGCCCCTGTTGACAAGAAGGCTAACAGCATACCGGACTGCATTATTACAAGTGTTGCCAGCAAATCAAGTGAAGTAATTATTCTGTTCTATTCTGCACTGGTGAGGCCACATCTGGAGTACTGTGTCCAGTTTTTGGCCCCCCACTCCAAAATTGGAGAGAGTCCAGCAGAGAGCAGTGAAAATGGCTTGGGGGCTGGGGCACAGGATTTATGAAGAGAGGCTGAGGGAACTGGGTTTTTGTAGCCTGAAGAAGAGTGAGAGGGGATTTGACAGCAGCCTTTAACTACCTGAAGGGTGGTTGCAAAGAGGATGGAGCTAGACTGTTCTTAGTGGTGACAGCTGACAGAACAAGGAGCAATGGTCTCAAGTTGCAGCAAGGGAGGTTTAAGTTGGATATTAGGAAAAACTTTCACACTAGGAGGGTGATGAAGCATTTGAACAGGCTACCTAGAGAGGTGATGGAATCTCCATCCCTGGAGGTTTTTAAGGCTTGGCTTCACAAAGCTGTGGCTGGAATTATCTAGTTGGGGCTGGTTATGTTTTGAGCAGGGGGTTGGACTAGATTACTTCCTAAAGTCCCTTCCAACCCTAATTTTCTATGATTGGAAAAGGGCAAATATAGTGTCCATCTTTAAGAAAAGGAAGAAGGAGGATCCAGGGATCTACAGACTGGTTAGCTTCACCTCAGTCCATGGAAAAATCATGAAGCAGGTCCCTCAAGGAATCTATTTCAAACCACTTGGAGGAGAAGAAGATACTTTGGAACAGTCAGCATGGATTCACCAAGGGCAAGTCTTACTGACAAACTTCACTGCCTTCTATAATGACATTATTGGCTGTATGGATGAGGAAAGAGCAGTTAATATGATTTACCTTGACTTTAACAAGGCTTTTGATATGGTCTCCCACAACATTCTCGCAAGCAAGGTAAGAAAGTATGGGTTGGATGAATGGACTGTAAGGTGGATAGAAAACTGGTTGGATTGTCAGGTTCAAAGGGTAGTAAATCAATGGCTTGATGTCTAGTTGGCAGCCGGTAACAAGCGGAGTGCTGCAGGGGGTGGCCCTGGGGCCAGTTTTGTTCAATATTTTCATCAGTGACCTACAAGATGGGATGGAGTGTACCCTTAGCAAGTTTCCAGATGACCCCAAGCTGGGAGGAGTGGTAGATACAGTAGATGGTAGGGCTAGGATTCAGAGAGACCTATACCAATTGAGGGATTGGAACAAAAGAAATCTCATGAGGTTCAATAAGAACAACTGCAAAGTCCTGCAGTTAGGACAGAAAAATCCCATGCAGACTGGAAACTGATTAGCTAAGTAGCAGCTCTGCAGAAAAGGACCTGGGGGTCACAGTGGACAGTAAGCTGGATATGAGTCAACAGTGTACCTTTGTTGCAAAGAAAGCTAACAGCATACTGGATTGCATTAGTAGGAGTATTGCCAGAAGATTGAGGGAAGTGATTATGCTTCTCTATTTGGCACTGGTGAGGCCACATCTGGAGTACTGTCTCCAGTTTTGGGCTCCCCACTACCGAAAGGATCTGGACAAATTGGAGAGAGTCCAACAGTGGGCAGTGAAAATGGTCATGGGGGTGGTGCACATGACTTCTGATTAGAGGCTGAGGGAACTGGGCTTATTAGTCTGGGAAATGAATTGAGGGGGAGGGAGGAGGGATTTAATATTTAAATAGTGCCTTTTCAGAGTCTGCGATGGAGGTGGTACAACCAAAATCCACAGCAAAAGGAATTCAGATGCATTGACTAACTTCTAAAAAAAGTCACAGTCTTTTAGAGAACTTGAAATTTATATCAAAAGTCTCACTGCAACTAGGAAACATAACCTCCTTTCTTTTTGATATGATGCCATGAGAAGGTTATAATTCACATGTGATGTCATAGTAGCGTTGTTAAAGTGCAGTATTTGAACAAAACACTTTCCAGATGAGAAACCATAAGGTTTAAATGTGAAAACTATAGTAAAATGTGTGAAGAGCAAGAAGTAGCTGAAATATCTCTGATATCAAAGTGTTAATCACCTTACATAGGTATGAAATGCTCCTTAGGTTATAAAAATGGTTACATACACACATGTGGATATATATTTTACTGTAATGACAAATCTGACCATAAATGCAGAGTAGAGGAAAATTGTGGATGTTAAAAAAATATTTCTTCCTTATTAAAATCTTGTGTGCTCACCGAACACCATGTATAAAACAATATGGGAGAACAGCTGAGTAAATATCCAAAGAGAAACTTCTGGTGACCAAAGAGATACTTGAGCTAATCTGCTCCATGTGCTCATGCTGCTTGCCATTGTATTTACAGAATTTCTACCTGTCAGATTCCAGGTCCCCATGAATCAGGGTGGTACGAACACTGTATACACACACTTAATGGAATCTTGTAAGGTTTGTCACTGATTTTGACAAGACCAAGATTTCATCTGTTTATTTAAAACGGGACTGATCCAGCTCCCACGAAAGACAATGGCACAACAACTACTGCTTTCAGTGATACAGGATCAAAAAGGTCCTTTGAGTAACATGCCACTAAACAAATCCTCTAGAGTTGGGTTTTGCAGAGGGGAGGGGTTGGATTAAAACTAGCTTTGAGTTTTCTATAACAGCAGTCTGAAAGATAATATAAATGCATATAAATTATCAATGTTAAATTGCTTACCTCTTGCTACATATACATACATCTCAGAATACAGAAATGTAAGAATATAGTTACAGAAGGCATGCCTTATAGCACTGTTTTCCTATGATGATGGGATGCTTTAACACACTTTCCTATGGCTGTTGTGTGTGCCATTATGCCTCACACATGTATATTGGTATTGTACAATAAAACATGTTTACTTACATAAAAATATATACACATTAAACATACGCACATACACATATCTATAACACATACATATGACAGTAAACAAGATCAACTGCATATATCTTATATATACATTCATCTAAACATGCATATCAACTTGTATATATAGCACGCACAGATATATGCAGACATAGTAAACAACATCCTATTTAGTTTTAGTTCAGCTTATGCATGGTCATTGAATAAATTAAAAATATTTTAATAATTTGGGCTTAATAGTTTGTTTATTAAATAAAAAAATGTAAGAGGAAAGAAACATTTCACAGAAATGCATACCTGTATTCATTTTGACACTGGAGGTTTTGCTACAAAAGTCTTCAGTTTTCCTGTAGAAAACAAAATGATCTATTAATTTGTCACAAGACAAAGGTATGTAGTACAAAATGTCATCAGGATTTTTTTGCAGGAGGTGGGGGGGAGGGGACTAACAAATCAGTGTCATATCAATGATAGTCCCATTTTAACACATGCTTTAATTAAACTGGCAACCCTTGTGCCTCTGAAGTTAAGGCTGAGTCAACACTTCCATTATAACCTAATCTATTTTAAAATGTTTGTTATCTTGGTCGTAAACATTTGCTCTGGGATGAATCTGGCAACTGATTTTTGATCTCCAAATTATCAAACTAAAAAAGCATCTCATATAAAGGAATGTGGAAAATTATTTTAAAAAGTTGTTTACAGGTTTTGCACAAAAAGACTACATAAAATAAAGACTAGTTACGTTTTATTTTATAACAGCTACAAGCATTCAAGCAATAGCTGTTTTTCAGCAATCATCAGAAGAGTTACAGCTTTCTTCATAAAATGACCTACTATAGCATTTCTTAACATGGGATACTGTGGTGTTTCTCCCTGTTGCTTACTGCAGTACTAACAACAGACTAGGGCCTGTTTTGGCCCCAGTGGAAATAAATGCCCAAAGTCTGTATTACTTCAGCAGATGAAAGATTAACTTCCCAAAAGGTCTGTTCCTTAAGGGATAATAATATGCCTTGAAGCCAATTATAAATACATTAATCCAGGAAGCTGGAACAGTTAAAGTCTCTTGGACCGGAGGTCCCTAGTTCTCCATGACGTTTGAAAACAGCCAAATAAACAAATAACAAACAACCAACAAACAAAAAAATGACAACCAAGGAGAAGGCAGTATGCCCTAAATCAAGCCTGTCAAACTCATCTAGCCTGTGGGCCCACAGACTGGCCCCACATGCCGGATTCAGCAATACAGGGTGCTCTCCAGGGCACACATACAGTACGTACCCTGGAGCAGCCCATGTTGCTTGCTCCATTCCTGCACACTGCAGGTAACATGTGCTAGCACTGGCATTGGCACTGGCTTGGTATGTGGTGTGTGAAGCTGGTCCTGGGCACACACTACACAGGGCATGTTGGGTAAATCTGGGGCATGCGCTGCTTGTGGTGTCTGAGCTGGACTTGCCTGCTGGGCTAGATCCAACACACGGGGGTTAATCTATGGGCCTGTTCTAGACTGGCCCTGGACTGCAGAGCCACATGTAGCACATGCCCCAAACTGGCGGTGCACACTACATGCAGCATGTGCCAGCTCTAGCCCCATGCAGCATGTGGTGCACAGAGCTGGCCCAGAATGCACTGAATCTGGCATGGGTGGCTGGTTTGAGGGTCTGATCCAGACTGGCTCTGGATCCAGTGTGCAGGGCCAGTTTGGTGTGGGTGCTGTATGCAGTGCTGCAGCCCCACTTGCATTCTATGCAGCCAGCTGCAGCCCCACTCCCATGAGCAGCACACACCACATGGACTTGACATGCCAGCATGTGCTGCATGTGGCACTGGTCCACAACCCACAGGCAGCACTGTGGGCCAGAGAATCTGGCTCTCCAGGTTGGATCTGGATCTCAGGCTGTATCTCAGACACCCCTGCTCTAAATTTAGCCTAAACTGAGCTGCTTTTAACTCCTGGGGCTGTAGTTAAAAGTTTACACAGTAGTCTGAGATAAGAACACACTAGATCTGACTTTCTGTTACCTGTGTCAGTTTGTAGTGCTTTTTTAAAACCCATTTTAGATGCCAGTGGCACAGAGATGATAAAAGGACAGAAGGCTGCAGAAATGACTCCCAGGGAACATGGCCGATGCTGAAGTTACTCCCCCCCCCACACACTAGAACTGAAGTGGGGGGGTGGAGGGCAGGGGAGGGTTGCACTGAGCAGGACAGAACAAGACCAGAATTAGCTGTATTCCATCTCTCGTCAACTGGCCTATTTCACCCCTGGGTGGGCAAGCATCGAGAAGTGTCAGGAATATGGGAGGCACAAAAATGGCTTAAATTGCTTTTTCCCCTCCTTCTCTGTTTCTCTATCAAGTGCAGAAAGGGAAGGAAAGATTTTAATATCAAGGAAAGCATTTGTTACAATAATGTAACCACTATTTTTTGATATACCATCTCTCTGCACACCCACCCATTTAGAACAATGATGGCACACACATTGAGAAGGGGTAGAAGGCAACTATCATATTGTACTTCCTTACTGGTCACATATGGTAGTATTATCACTGCTATTAACAGTGAATTTTCTTTTGCTGTAGATTATGGGACATAACAGGGCAGATGGTAAACAAAAGGAGCAACATAGGAGCTGAGAGAAGATATGGTGGGGTGACTAACAAAATTTCATGACATCTGCTTACAGTACAACTATCAGAAAATTAGCCCCTGAGAATTCTCAATAGAGGATTTAAAGATTAAAGAGAATCTAATTTATTTTGTTCAATTTTGATAAACTGTCTTTGATTGTAACTTTAGGTTTGCATAACCGCCCCAAATTATTCTTGAATGCACTGAATTCTTGGAGTGTTTTCATGGTGCTAGAGGAGACAGCATTTTCAAGTATTCTTTTAGCTTGGAACTGTTTCAGAGGCGGTACTATGAAAACAGGCTATAAAATGCAACACTACACAGACTCTCAGGAAAGGCTCAGTGAGTACAGAACTCTTTGTACGCCCTGATGTCAAAATGATTTCTAGCAGTTAACTTTGATGTGTTTACATAAAGTTTGTTTAATTCATGCTAAAGTTTTACACATAATACTCTTTTTTTCTTGCTAAAATGGAAACAAACTGACATCAATGGAAGTTGTTTTGACTGGGTTGAGTTTCTACAGGTCTCTCTAGTAATTTGGTCGCAATTATCGAGGGATTGCATATAGAGCACCTCATCATTCCTAACTCCAGCGACTGAGCAGTTATTTAGTACTTGTATAGTAGTCATTTACAATGCAAATACTAAATGACTGCACAGTAACAACTGTGCAGTCATTGTCTCATGTAGATGTGGCCAGTCTGAATCTGGATTCATTTATGAAGATTTAGGGACACATTTTGATCTTGAATCCATATTCATAAGGTGTTTGTACGCATAAAACAGTACAAGAGACACACAACACAAAACAATTCTTGATTTTTAACAAACCAGTGGTACTAATCTAAAATGACTTTTACCTTTTGCTAAAGTACTGAGGAACATTTAAAATACCACTAATAGGAGTGCAAGAATTTAAATAGATGCCAGAAACTTAAGAGTCATACTTCTGTGTTCACTTTTTCCTTTTTTAATTATGTTATATCCAACAATATCTACAATTTCTATCTGTATAGACTTATATCAAGGGACTGTTGAGAATTTTAAATAAAGCTACAATTTCTATCAGTATGGGCAAAAAACAAATTACAAAAAGCTAAAGGTGGGGAGAGTTTATTGATCATCATTGCTCTGTGGCAACTGATGTGTGTGTCTGTTCCTATCCTGCGGTAAGGATAAGTAAACCAGAGCAGCCTACCCCCCAGATGAAGCAGAGTGAGGTTATTGTAGTTTCCTTTCCACTTACTGTGAAATAGGAGAGGACCCACAAAGCAATTACCACAAAGCAGCAAACATGTGGACCTCTTTTAACAAGTATAAATTTGTTGTCTATCAATATCCTAAAACTGAAAGCAATTAGGGAAAAGAAGACAGGTTTCATTTTATTTCAGCACTTTTACATGCAGTTAGTTTGACTGCTTTGTGCAAATTGCTCTCTGCAGACAGATCCTTGTGCATACATAAGCGTACAGTGACTTCAGATACACATGGAGCAGTTTGCAAAATCAGGGACTTACACCATTTCATGAGTCAGGCTTTGGTTCAGGGAAGCATTTAATCAAGGACATGTCTGACTTGAAGCAACCAGGAGAAAGCACAACTGAGTTAAGCTGCTGACACAATTTTTGTAGCATTATGAATTATTTTGCCATAGATTCATAGATTTTTAGGGGCTGGAAGGGACCTCGCAGATCATCAGGTTCAGTCCCCAAAGCCTTTTAGAAGTCTAGGTACATAACGTCTACCTTGTCTCCCATGTCCAGGTGGCGAGAGTAAGCTTGTATACTTACTTCATTTGGGAAAAATCAGGATCAGAAACAAAATATTCAACAGCACTATGTACAAGAAAGAAACCATGCCTGACCCCGCTACCGCAATCCTTTATTGGTGTATCCCTAGATGCATAAGTTACCTGAAGAAATGTGTTCTTAATGTTAAGAACTTAGTAAATCGTTTTAACTTGACTGACTGCAACTGAAATAAATTCTTTCTTATATGCATTCAGCACTGCTGCCACTGGGTGAAGGAACACAGCAAAGTTAATGGACTGATGATTTTTTCATGAGTTTGAAAGTGTCTTGTATTTACGCCCCATCCTTTTGCCAGAGGTATAAAAATTAGCAGGTTAAAAATATGATTTTATGACAATTTATATTCATCATGAACCAAATGTGCACTCCCTTTGTTGTCCCCGCCATTTGTAATGAATTCCACCTCTAGCACCTTTGGTAAGTGAAGTAACTGGCATGTAATACAGCTTGCAGATGGATTGTCAGCAGGTTGCATACATCTGTGTAATTTGGCATGCATTTGATTGATTCTGTTTTTGTTAGGTAGCCAGCAGCATCCAGCTTTTTGGGAGGGGGAAGGGTTTTTTCAGATGTGTGTGAAGAAGGCGAAGTCAGCTCTGTATTAATCTTCTTTGACAGATTGACTGAGCTCCTACTAGGGACTGAATCCCACTGCATAAAGTATCTACACAATTTGGGAGGAAAATGACTCATGGGTTATAACTAGGAGTGGATTAGTCACTGTAAATGCTGTGGAGGCTGTTCTACTGCACTTCCCCCCATGGACCTACTTGAGTCACTATCAGATGTTTATAGCCCACTTCACAGAAACTGGGATTTAAAAAACTCAGGAGTAGTAATGCTTCTGATTCCATCTCTGCAATAAGTCTATTGTGATATTCCATTTGAATATATTT